ATATATATTATCTTTAATTTATAGGTAAAAAATTTAAAATATGATTATCTATATCTATAAAAAAAAGTAAATTCCTATTTTTATGTATACATTTTTTGGATTATTTTATTATTAAATTTTTAAATAATAAAAAAATAATATTAAAATTAACTATTTTTATAAATTCAATCAAAATCTTGAAGTTTCAAGGTTAAACATAAGATTAGTTGATTCAACAAATATTGATGAATTTATATCTATATGTTTTAGTATAAAAATTATTTGTGACAATTTTAACATTTGATAAAGCTATATAAGTCTTATAATAGAGAATGAAAAAGTTTTTTTTTATAGAAGTTTTATTTTTAAAATTATCGATATTTACACATTATCTCCACTAATATATATGTTTAAAGGAAATTATCATAGAGGTATGAAATTTCTTCTTTTTCACTAGTATATATAGAGACAGAGTGTCTCACGTCAATAATTATTATAAAATTAAAGGAGTAATATTTTGTCTAATACATGTACACTTTCAACAATGGTTTGCGTCTGGGTTATAAATGACACTTAGTAGCATTCTCATGCATCTTTTGTTAATCAATTTTAATATTACTTTCAATTAAATATTACTCGTATTTTGCTCGTGTCAACTTAATAAATAAATTAATAAATAAAATATACATTATACACCACACGCACATTCAATAAAAAATATTAGGGACTGTTAGTTAGAAGACATTTGCAAGTATCAATGACGCTATGTTTGAACAACTCTATGCAATTATATATTCAAAATTGTTTGGATAATTTTTTTAGAAGTAATTATAAGAGAAACAAAATAAAAAATAAAAGTAACTATTTCTTATAAGTTAAAATCAATGTGGGTCACAATCTTTTGTGGACAAATAAAAATATGCAACTGGTGTAAAAAAAAATTGGAAACCAAGTTCCAATATTGTTCCTTCTTAAAAAAATATCATTTCATTTGTGAACTCAATTAAAATCTAAAGTCAACCATTTTCAGATTTAAGAAAACTTCGTTACAGATCCCTCTATAATTTCCAAAATGAAGCATTGGGATATTTTTTGGGAGGATGTTATGAAATTTGTGATAAAAAAGAATAACTAATATTTTTTTACTACATGAATATTTTTTAATTTTTTTTATGAATAATTTTTTTTACTAATTTTAGTCCTTAATTTTTTTCTTGTCAATTTTCATTTTTATTTCTTGAACTTTTCTGTTCGTTAATATTTTTTTGTTTATGATGTCAAGATTTTTTGTTCATAAATATTTTTTTAAAAATAAAATCAAATAAAATTTGCTTAAATATCAAATATAAAAATTGACAAATGTTCATAAACTAAAATTATATTTAATTTTAAAAAATAGCTTAATAATGAGATCATAAAAAATAATAATAAAAAAAGCTTCAAGAGCATACACAAGAAAGTGATTGGCAAAAATAAGACAATGTAATTGACGTTGGGTGACAGATTAGAGATTAGATGATGGTATTAACAATTTGTTACTGACAGGAGGACTAAGAGGAGAAGTTTCTCTCATTAGCTTCTAACTTCTTTTTATTTGCATTTTTCTTCATAAAACTCTTTTTCCTTAGTTGCGAACGAAGTCGCAACTAGACGGCTTTTAACTGTATAATTATTTTAGTAAAATAGTGTTTTGACAATTTCTCTTTTCAAACAGAAAAATATTATGAAAATATATCACTAGTATATTAGTTAATTATATAATTGAACTTAACATCACATTTAACTCAAAACATTATGTTCATGAGTCTTTTACTAAGATATATTCACTATGTTTATTTTGAGTAAACATGACTTTTTAATTCCTACGTGCACACTACTCTTTCAATTTAAAATATAAGCAAAAAAA